ATTATGTACCAAGCACATAATCAAGAAAACTTATGACATCAGTATGTTTAAAAAACATATAAACAAATGAAACTGCATACATAATAGAGTATAAGTAATTGACGTTGGGAGACAATACTCCATGGGTCTCTTGCATGTCCTGACTGTCCTTTGTAAAAAAAAAAACAACTATCTTTCCAAGGATGTTTGTAAAGCAAGCCACCTTGGAAGATAAGAGATGGAGTCTCCTTCCAGAAAAACAACAAAGCATACTTACTGTCCTAATATTATAGAAGATTTGATCCACTAAGCTCAGGGTTCCATTCCTATGATACAACACAGTGTGTACAGGTGCTGTTTAGCCCTCTTCATGTCACACGGGAATTGGGATTCGAGGAACTGGTACAAAATGATGATATAGTCCCCCTTTATCTGCAGGGGATACATTCCAAGATGCCCAATGGAGGCCTGAAACCATGGAGGGTATACCCTATACAGTATATACAGTGCTTTTCAATCTGATTACTGAGACAGCTACTAAGTGACTAATGGATGGGATGCACATACAGCATGGATATGCTGGACAAGAAATGATTCACGTCCCAGGCAAGACTGAGCCAGACAGCGCAAGATTTCATCACGCTACTCAGAACGGCACGCAATTCAAAACTAATGAATTGCTTATTTCTGGAATTTTCCATTTAATATTTCAGATGGCAGTTGACTAGGTAACTGAAACTCAGGAGAGCAAAACCTCAGAAAGTGAAAACACAGATAAGGGAGGACTACCGTATTTTGGATCCTACTATTGTTGTAATAAACTGTCTTTCATCTCTGACCCAGGAGTCTCATGTCTCCTACCAGCATCCACAAAATTGTGACAAACTCACTATTATCTTGTCCTAATTGGGGTAGAATCTCAGATCCTTTGTGATTTTTGACAATTGCACTTATAAGTTTTGAAAGTTTTACAGAAGTATGTAACTGTGAATAAATTATAACTAAATACAAAAAAATTAATTTTATTTATAACTTTACCATATTTATTGGGGAAACTGGCAACTTAGATACAAAAAGAACCACAACAAGTATAGAAAATTTAATACCTATATCACTAATGTATCCTAAAACACATGTTAATGTTAACAAACATCAATCTTAACATATTTATAGTTGATTTCTATTTCATGGTAGTTATGCTCTACGAAGTTGCCGTGAACACTAACTTAGTGAATACAGAACTATTGCTCCTAGGGGAAGTATGAGGTTAGGTTCCTGAGAGGCTCTGGTCACATTTTTGTAAACTGATCAATGAATAACTTTGTTTTACATGTGTTTCAGTTTAAAGACATCTTATTTAATGTACATTTCTTACAAATAATTAATTGCATGGTCTTTGATTCAAAGCCAGAAACTTCAGAGGCCATTTGTGTTACATAGGTTTGTTTGGCAATGTTCTTATAAAACAAGCCAGTCTCATTGGCGTTGAAAACCAATCTTCTATATAACCCTTTCCTGTATAACACTTACCAGGTATTTTTTAAATTCTTCTGCAGACTCCTGATCTGTAGAACCTAATATTTTTCATGATGTGTCACCTTTTGAAATGTGCAAGCCAGCCAGCACCAGCTAAGTTTAATGTTTTCCTAACCCTGGGTAGCATGACTTTGGCTTTCCTTACAACAATGCTGTTCACTATGCTTTATCGGTCATTTCACAGATCCACAAATTTAGCTGCTTTCGCATCTTTTCCACACCTTCAAGTACTACAGATGCTATTTTTTGTACTTTGTGGAGCAGCCTCATGTACATACTGACAAACTTCCTTCTTCTTTTGGGGATGTAGCCATGGTTTTGATTCGTAGCACTGAATTTACAGCCAACAGCACTGTAACTCATGCCTGAATGAAGCTTATCTACCTTGCATTTTCTCTGTAACGCACATCACAGCCTTTTTACACTCAGAACACTAAACAACACTTCAGCCCTATGTTTGGGGATCATCTTAAACATCAAAATCACCAACAAAAAGCACAAAAATGCAAAAAACGAGATACTAAATAGACCACGAAAAGAACACCTGTTCATAGTATGAAACTTGAAACAAAAAAGCCGTATTCGAACTTGGCTTAGAACATGTGCACTGGGTCACAACTTTTCACAGCTCTATGCATGTTCTGGAATAACCACGAATGCACTGTCAGTACTGACTTGTAAGTTACAAATAAATTTTATTAAGTAGATGAATTTGTAAATACAAAAATCTGAGAATAACAAGGATTAACTGCACGTGCATAATTTTAACTCCATCCACAAATTTAACCACACTATTTGATTTCACCCTGTCCCTAACCAGGCTCAGCTCCACCCTTGCCTCTGCCCACAACCCACCCTGTACCTCTGGTAATAGGTGTCTGAGCGCCCGCAGGTGGCCCCTGACTTGCGAAAGACCTCACGGCGCTTCCAGCCAGGGCCCAGGGCTGGGCAGTCCAGCCAGTCCTCAGCCATTGAGGCCACACGAAGTAGCAGCAGCCTGCAAAAGTGGGAGAAGACGGTGCATGGGGGAAACTGAGGCTCTAGGAAGGGACAAACTGTGCCCGACGCTACACAAATCACTGATGTCTATTACTGCTTGCCCAAGACCTAGAGAAACCCCTCCCATTCCCACACTATTCTTGCCTGTTCTGGGCCCAGGAGCTTCTCATTCCTCCCCCTTTTTAACCTGGTAACCTCCACAGCTCTCATCTTCAACTTAAGGGTCCCTGTTCCTTATTCTCAGTATCCTGACCCCATCTTCAGATTGAGAGCCCATCATTTCACTCTACTGCCAACTCAGGAACCTTTCATTTTTCCAACTCATTCCTTCTTGTCTTTGACTTACAGGTCCCTATCCCTCCCCTATATTGCCCTAAGATCCCTGTACTCCCCATCCTCAGCCTAAGAGCCCATCATTCCTCTTGGCCTCAGTATTCTACTTCAGTGTTTTTACCTCCCATTCCTCCCCTTCCTTGACCCACAAGTTCCCAATCTCTTTCCTTTAGTGTTTTAACCATTCCATTCTTTCCCTGTCTGATGTCCTCTTATTCTACTACATCAGTGTTATAGCCTCAACTTCCTCTGTGTGAGAGCCTCCAACCCCTCCACATCCTTAGCCTGAGCAGCCCCATTCTTTCCATTCCTCTGCTAGAAGCCTCCCATGGATCCCCCTTCCCCAGCCCAACAGTTGCCTCACTTATTTTTCCTCTCCCTCAATGTTCTGACCCACAATTTCTCTCCAATCTCAAACCCAAAACCTCCCTGTGCCTCTCCTCTATGGCCAAAAAGGTCCCCACTTCTCCTCTTCAAAATTCTCACCCTACATTCTTCCTAATCAACCTGAGAGACCCTGATTTCTCCCCTTAGCATTGTGAACTCTCCCCATTCCTCTCCGTTCTTATTTCAGGATCATGCCATCCCTAACTGTCAGCGTTCTCATCTATTTCTCCTCATCCTCTATATGAACACAACCCTCGTCGCTCCCTTTCAGCATTCCAACGCCCCCATTTCTCTCTGTCATCAGTCTGAAGGACCTTCTTTTTCCCTCTCAGAGTTCTGAATCCCCGTTTCTCTCTCCTTAACTTCAGAGGCCCCGATGTCTCCCCTCAGCGTTCCGAGCTCTCCCATTCCTCTCCGTCTTAGTCCCAGGATCCCGACACTCCTACCTGTCAGCGTTCTAAGCCCCATCCCTTCCCGTCTTTCGCCTAAATCCCCCTATTCCTCCCTTTCAATATTCCGAAGCCGCCATTCCTCTCCCTCGTCGACCCGAGGGCCCTTCATTCCTCCTCGTCAGCGTTCTGAGCCTCAATTCCTCCCCATCCTATGCCTGAGTGCTCTCCCCTTCCAGCCCCACGGCTGTCTCACCAGCTCGGCACCAGGCCGGCAGCTTCCGCCTTTCTAGGCCCGTGGATTCATGGCGAGGGTCCCTCCTGTGCCTCCCGCCTTGCCCTACTCCCCTTCTTCCTCCTCCTCTGCCGCCTCCTCTGAAGCGGTAGCTGTCGCCTCCGCGGCTGTTCGTTGCTCCCGGAACCGGAAATCCACTGCTTGCCTCCCAGGCTCCGCCCCCGACGAAACACCTGCGCGCTAGCGTCTCGACGGCGCGCGCCCTTAGCGGGGACGCTCCCGCGCCTGCGTACTGACGTCCCACACTGGAGCGCGCCCACGGCCGGGACCCGCAGCGCCTGCGCTCCTCGCTTCCCCAGACGGCGCGTCCATCCCACGGGGCCTAGTTTGCACATGCGCTCTCCAGCCTCGCGCTAAAGGGGCGTGGACGTTAGGAGTTGAGCTTGCGCTCTCCGTTCCTTCTGGCCGTCTCCAGGAGTAACCCACAGGGGCGTCGCAAGGCTGGGGTTGCGCCTGCGCACTCCCTTGACCAGCCGAGACCCTCCTCTCCCACTCTTGCCCAGGTCGCGTCTGTGCTCGCTGCGAACATCTCCCATGAGTCTATAGTGTCTCTCGCTCTCCCCATCGAACAGATGGCGCGCGAAGGCGAGTTTTCGCTGCGCGGGCCCCGGTTGGCTCCGCGGACACGGGGAAGGGGGCGGGGCCGCGCCGCAGGTAAACAGAGGGCACCCTGCGAGGGCGTGTCCACGCCGCACAGGACTGCAGAACTGGAGTGAGCTCCTGTCGTATATGTGTCCCACAAGAGGGATTTGCAGGAAAGTGGGGACCTTGTGTCCATCGCTGAATATAACTCTGGTGTGGAGAGCATGAACACTCACAGGAATGGGAAGTCAGCCACACAGGGCAAGTGCTGAGTGTATACCCACTGTCCCAGAAAGAGAGGCTGAGGATACAGGACACTGGACGTCAGGTCATATCCCCACAGCCTAAGGGAGCACAGAGTGAGTGCTAACTATATATTTACAGCCTATGCATGCACTGCAGCCCCTTCGGAGTACAAGTGTGCCACCGCTCATCTTATGCAGAGTGGTTTGGGAAAACAGTTGCAACTGGAGCAAGTGTAGAGACCAGCAGAAGTTATCTTCCTTGGTTCTTCAAAATTTTATTAACAAAATCCAGGGAGGGAGGAAGCACGGGTGAGTAGACTCCACAGTCCCACCCCAGCACAGAAAATGGAGAAACAGAGGGAAATGTTGAGACTCTCTAGTAACAGTAGATGGCAAGTCAAATGGTGGATGGGCACAGAGAGAATTAAAGAAACATGAACAGATGAAGAAGGAACGGACACACGGGAGGCTCAGGGCAGCTTCCCCAACTGGAATGAAGGATGTGGAGGTGGTGTGGGCCGGTGAGGCTCAGCGGTCAGCACTGGAGCGCAGGTCGGTAGTGAGTGGGTCGTGCTGGATTGTTTGGTGCAGCATCAGGGCCAGTAATCCTGCACGGTTTGTCATGGCTGTACGCACATTGCGCTCCTGCTCAAACAGCTCATCCAGCTTGTACCACTGCCAAAAGGAGTGGAAGGTGCCATGAGAAAGGGGCTCCTGAAGCCCCCACCTGACTGACCCTGGCTACGTCCAGCATCAAAACCTACCACACGCACACGCTCCAAGTCCACTTCAGCACGCCGAAGCTTCTCCCAGCAGTAATGGCGATTGCACTGGCGCTTGGGCAGGCGGCAGAAGTCACCTGTAAGCTCAAAGACATCACGTACAAGGGGGCACCCGCACACCTCATCGGCTGGCACCTGCAGGGAAACCAGTAAAGAGAATGAACAAAAGTGGTGAGGGAGGAGAACAGAAATAGGTGCTCAGGGAGGGAGAAGGGAAGGAGAGGAGAGTGAAGAGGCATGGAAAATACAAGGAATGAAAGATAAAGAAGCAAGGAAAGGGGGAGGAATAGGAGGTGATGAGATAGAAAAAGGGAAAGCAACAAAGGGTGAGGAAGCAGGGAAAATAAGAAAAATGAAAGTGATCAAGTAGGAAAAAGAGAAGGAAGGAGGGGAGGTGAGGAAGGAAAGGATGAATGTTGGATAGAAAGGAGGGCCAGAGTCGGGGGAGTTAAGGAAAAATCTTACTTTGGGGTCCCGTGAGTGCTCAGGGCACAGCACCTGGAGCCGCTTGCAGTATGTTTTGCTCTGAGGATTGTAGACATCACAGAAGAGTCGTGTGGCCCTGGGGGTTTGGAGTAGAGAGAGGGTAGTGGAGGGAGAGAAGGAAGGAGGCCCTCTTATCCTTGCCCACGCCCATATTCTGCCCCAGCTCCATACACACTCCACTTCTGACCCCAGCCTTAACTCCCCTAACTCTGCATGGCACCCTCACTTACCCTTCAATGCGTGTGGGGTACATGGACCCAAAGGACGTCTGGCTCTCATACTGGAGGGATGAGCATAAATGGAGGGAACTGTGGATGTGTGCTGCACACTGGCCCAAGACACCACCCGGACAACAATCTGTCCCCCACTAGCCCACTGATATTCCCACACCATCCACCCCCTTAGGCTGACACCCTGACCTTGGCATAGCAGCGCTCCATGTGGCGCAAGGCAACACGTGGGTTGATGGGGTGCCCGCAGGAGACGCAGAAGATCTGCAAGTCTGTGTCATCACTGTCACCCTCGTTGCTCTGTATGGGATGGAAGGAGCGATGAGGCCAGGAGGGACCGCGTGCTGGACCTTGCTCTGCCATGCCCCTGCTTGCTCACCTCCTCATCCTCACGCACAGCCTGCTGCTTGGCACGAAGAATGATGGCCTCAAGTTCGTGGAATCGGCGCTCCATTTCCTGAAGGCGGGTGCGGGCACTCTGCTGCTCACGACGAATGCGTTCAAGCAGCTTCTTGCCATGCTCTTCAGCAATGCAGGGGCTCTGCTGCCACTGCTGGATGCGTTGGGGGAGGATCTCGTAGATGCGGCTGCAGGGAGACAGTGGATATGGTGCAGGCAGGGAAGGTGGCAAGCAACAAGATAAGTAAGCGGGGTGATCTAAGGATGGCAAATGGATGTGTGACTAAATGGTGAAAGGATAAGTAAATAGGTGGCTGAATGGTGGCTGAATGAGCAAGTGGACAGATGGGAGCACATGGATGGGTGAGTGGGTAGATAGATACATATGTATTTGGTTGACTGAATGGTGAATAGGTGATTGACTGGTAGACATACAGACAGCTCTGCCCTACCCTGTACTTCCTGACTCCCTTGAACCCCCAGGAGTGACTCACTTGGCTGCCAGCTTCATGCCGCAGTCATCTGAGCAATACTTAGAGCTGGGCTGGGCAGGGCGCACACAGCCGGGCCCCAGGCACTGTGGCAGCGATGCAGGGTCCTTGACATCGGCCCTCTCTGGGTGTTTCCATTTGTCCTTGTGCTTCTGTTTTTGCCGATGCCGCTTGTATCTCTCCTCTTTCTACGGGACAAGACAGGTCAGGTCAAGGTGGAGTGGAAGGCAGCTCCAAACTTATCTCCCCCTCCATTCCAGCCCTTTCTGGCTCTTGCCCCATTCAGCCCCTGACCTCCACCTCTCCCTCTCCACCCATCCTCTGCCTTCCCATACCCATTTTACCCTCTCCATCACCTTCTTCTCAGACTTCTTCTCCCGCCGCTTCACATGCTTCACTTTCACTGCCCTCTTCCGTAAGGCGGGGTCCAGGAATGGGGACTCTTCTGTGTCACTCATCCAGGGCTGCAAGCAGGGCATGCACTGACCCACGAGCCCCACTCGTGACACCCACCACCTACTCATTTCCCAAATCAGCCTTCCATACCCTGCCTCCTCTCTTCTCATTAGGGATACTCTCTGCTTCTGTAACCTCCACCCTTCTACCATGGGATACTCCTGCCTGCTCACCAAGCCATGGTCATCAAAGGCCCCTGCACAGAAGTCCTGGTACAAGTCAGGATCCAGTGGTAGGTCCTCATCAGAGAGTGGCTCAGGCGTGGCCGTAGCCTCAGGTGGCTCCTTGACTGCTGATGATGCCACTGCCCCCTCATCTTCACGAATGCGCCCCAGCTTCTGTGATGGCTGTGGCTGCTGTTGGGTGGGCAGTGGCCGGCGGGGCCTTGGCAGGGACTCTGAGGGTGTCACCGGCGAGAGCTGCGGGGCAGAATCTCAGGACTGGCCCTGACCGCCCTGCCCGCATGCCCCGCCCCGCCCTGGGGGGCTGGACTCACCGAGGAAGGGAAGTACTTGTACGATTCCTGTGCCGGCAGGAGGAAGGCCCAGGTCAGCCCCAGGTGAATGGAGGGTGGCCTTGCCCTAGCCCTGCCCACCTGGCCTTGCCTCCTCAGACACACCTGCCCCCTACCCCTCACCACCAGGACATGCTCAGCCCTGCCTGATCTGCACTAACATGCCTGACCACCCAGAAATACTTGGTCCCACCCAAGGTTGGGGATTCTCCTGCCAGCCCAGCATACCTGGTCATGCCCCATTCATCGGGACATGACAACCCCTTCCCACTTATCTGGATATAGTCAAGCCCCACTGCACCTGGCCAATTCATGCCTAGCCTTAACCAGCCCTTCATGGACTGCCCCCCTTCCTGATACTACCCAGCTCTGCCCATGCTCACCCGGGCCCGTAGCTGGCACTGGCGTAGCCGGCACTTCTGCCGGATCTTGTTGGGGCCCCCAAATTTCTTCATGTCCCGACAGAAGTCACAGTGGCCACAGTCCTCAGTACGCCGGCATGCTTCACACTCGCCACACATGCGGGCTGACCGTTTGATCTGTTGCTGCTGCTGGTGATGCTGGAGAAAAGTACCCAGAACAGAAATCAGGGACCCAGGGAGAGCCCAAAATGGGACCACTTTATACATCCCAATCACTACAGCCACTCACCTGGCTGGGTGTCACCACCAAGGGCTGTGGAGAGGATTTATGGGGCGAAGCAGAGCCCCGAGCAAGCATGGCCCCAACCCCTGTCCCTGACCCCGCCCGGCGCTGCAGGTCAGGATCTGAGACAGGCCTCTTGCGCCCTCCACCCTCATCCCGGGGCTCACTGCTGTCCCGCTCATTGCCATCCCGCTCTCGTGACTTCTTGTGCCGATAGCGTATTTCCAACTTGGGATCTTTCTCTGTGGGGCAGAGAATAGGGCCAAGGTAGGTGAGGAGTGGCAGGCCTAAATGGTCCCAGAACCTCTTTTTCCTCTTATCTTACTGTTCCAACCACCCCCTGACCCCCTTGCTCAAGGGCAGAGCTAACCCTTCCTGTGGGATCCTCTGTTACCTCTAACAATGGAGTCCACATTCTAGCTCACCAGACCAACAATCACTCTGCCCACAGACATATATCACTACTCCCCTGACCACCCTATTATGGCTTCTCCTCCTCCCACCTGCCTTCCCTGTCCATCCCTCCCCCCTCACCTCGGCACTCCCGACAGTACCACTCCCGGATGGCCTTGGCCATCTTCTCAGTGATCCGGATGCAATCCCCATGGAACCACTCATTGCAGTTGTCACACCCGCTGTAAAGGATGGAGCAGGTGGTGAAGATGTGAGGGGCATGCCCCACTAGCTTCACCCAAACTTGCCAGGTGTCACCCAGGCCCCCCGTCCACCTCTCCCTGGCTCACATCATAAAGCAGTTGATGTCGGGTTTGCGGCAGATGCAGTAGATGGGTGCGTTCTCCCCATTCTCCGACTTGCTGTCCTCCCCAGCATCTGGAGGCTCTGGGTCTGAACCATCTCCCTCCTGTGAGACACCCCATAGTGGCAGCTCATCTCTCCATTACAGCTCCATCAGGGTTCAGCACAGACTCACACACTGCCTGTAGACTCCTCTTCAGGGCTCCCCATAAATCTATCCTCCACAGAGCCCATCACTCACCTCTGTTATCCCCTTACTCAGCTTATAACTCTCCATCGCTCTGGCCCGGACCTCCCATCACTCACCGCCGACACCCAGTCACTACCCGCACTCCCATACGGCTCACACAAACACTCTACCACTCACCACATACTGCCCCATCGCGGCTCCTCACAGACCCCGAGCGGGGTTCCCGCCGACCCCGCAGCCTTCATTCCGCAGCCTTCCCGCCACGGGGCGCCACAGCTCCCAGCCCCACCCCCCGGCCCACCCCTGGCCACTGTAGTCCCCGATCCCCTGAGGGAATCCTCATCCCGCTCACTGCAGACCGCCCAATACGGCTTTTCACAAACCGCGTATCCTTCTGCCCACAGAACTCCCCATTACAGTTTTCCCCAAAATGCCACCCGGAGTCCCCACGAAACTTCTATTGCGGACTCCATAATGGCCCATCACAGAACTCCGAGGTGGTTCACCACAGACCCCACCATTCTGCCCCCAGCCTCCGGCTTCGGCTCACCACAGACCCCCGAGCGTCTGTCACTAGACCCCACTGTTCCCAGCCCTACAGACCTCCAACGCCAAAGCCTTCCCCGGACTCCGTACTCACCATATCCCCGCTGTCGGCGAACTCCCTCGCGCCCCACGCCAGAGACTCGTGAATCTTCTCAGACCACTCCGCGGCGTCCGCGGCGGTTGCAAAGGCGCCCACTACTTCCGCTCCAGGTCACGCCTCCCAGGCACCGTACTCCTATTGCGCAGGCTCCGTGCGTCGACTCCGCAGCAAACAAGCAGGTCGCTCCCCTAGAGCCCCCGAAGGTGCTTCAGGCGCCGCCATCTTGATTGTCGAGTCCGTATGGTGGCCGAATCCATACGTTCGCCAGGAACATGGCCGCGCCTGTACACAGCTTTCTGAGGGCGCCGCCACCTTGTCAGTAGAGCCCTTACGGTGACGCTTGTACGGCCTCGAAGTTACAGGCAACATGGCTGCACCTAGTGCATTACTTCCTCGCAGATGCCGTTATCGTGGAATTTGATTCCGTGAGGGAGCCGAGGCCGTACGATCCCAGGCGACACATGGCAGCGTCCTAGTCGCGCCTTCCACATGGGCGTCGCCATCTTGGAAGTCTATTCCGTACATGGGCCAATTGTCCTCCAGAGAGGTTCACGCGGAAAACGGCCGCTCCCGAAACATTACCTGGATCAAATCTCATTCATTATTCCATTCAATCACTTTTCCCTTACATATGTGTTAATGGGGCGCCAGCAGTCTGTGTGCTTTGCGCCATGTGAAGGAAACCAGTCCCCGTTGTGCCCCGACTTCACCTGCCACCACTCTTTCCGACTCTCCTGTCCGTTTCTCAGCCGGACCTGGCACTGTTCAGCTATTATTTATTTTATTTTTATTTAAAGACAATTCTTAAACTAATTTCAAAATTTAGTTCTGTAAGCTGCATAATAAACCTAACAGTATAGCACCGTTTACTTCTCCGTTCCTTTATTGTTGAATGTTTACGACATTTTCAAATGTTATTCTAAGAAAGTTCCATGGAACATTCATAAACATAGATCTATATGCTCATCCCTGATTATTTCTTATGAAATTAATGTAGGGATAAGGCAGAAAAGGAAGGTCGAGAGAGCCTGAATGCAGCCATTTTAACCAATACTAGGCCCTAACCAACCTGAACAAAGAAGTCTCCAGCAGGTTGCGCGCCCATGACCTTCCGAAGATGGATAAATTACTAAACTGGATGCCTTACAAACTGTGCTTACCTTTCTATGACAGCAGTTTATGATTAACCTTTATGGCCTGACCATAAGACAATGGGGGTCACCTACGTCCCACCGGGTTTTTGAACATTTAAAAAAACTTCACCATTGCCCAGTAAGTGTTCCCCTCACCCCCTGCTTGAGATCTGTGGAGTAGGAGCTACTACTGTTTGTGTCGAACACAATGAATTTCCCTGTTGCTAATTCGCTACCACTTTAAATTCTCCCCTATGTAAAGCCAAAAACCCACTTGTCAATTTCAAGGGGGCTTTCCTTCCTTCACTGGGACACCTCCTGCATCAAAATGTGATATATGGGCCGGGCGCGGTGGCTCACGCCTGTAATCCTAGCACTCTGGGAGGCTGAGGCGGGCGGATTGCTCGAGGTTGGGAGTTCGAAACCATCCTGAGCGAGACCATCTCTACTAAAAATAGAAAGAAATTAATTGACCAACTAAAAATATATATATACAAAAAATTAGCCGGGCATGGTGGTGCATGCCTGTAGTCCCAGCTACTTGGGAGGCTGAGGTAGGAGGATCGCTTGAGCCCAGGAGTTTGAGGTTGCTGTGAGCTAGGCTGACGCCACGGCACTCACTCTAGCCAAGGCAACAAAAGTGAGACTCTGTCTCAAAAAAAAAAAAAAAAAAAATGTGATATATGAAATGGTGTTACTCTAGTCCTGAGTCTGAAATGGAGTCCAGAAGCCCCTCTAAGAAGGACTGTCTGCACTTCCTGCAAACTTGCAACACACACACACACACACAAAACGAACTTGCCTTGAACCCTTGAACTGGGCCAAACTACAAAGACCACGCCATCCTGGAAAACAGCTGAATTTCACTAGTGCTGCATCTCCTGAACAATGGTCAGAGAGCTATGGACTCATGTGCTGGCCAGCCACCTCCATCAATGGTAATTCCTTAAAAACAACTCATGTAATCACCATCTTTTTTACTTCTCTTAAAAACCCCTACTTTCCTCCCTGTCTCTGGAACACAATTTGGCTTCTAGCTGAATCTATGTCTCCTGAATTACAATTCCTAAAACCCCAATAAACTTTCTCTTACTGTATCGCATCTCGATCATTTGCCTCTTTTTAGCAGATGTTCCTTAGAGATTAACCTCTAAAAGTAGAATTATTTTATAATTGAGTATAAATATTCTAAGACATGTTAAATAAAATTTGTAGGAGGCTGTTGGTTTGGACTGAGCTCCAGTACTAGGCCCAACCAAAATGGAGTTACTCATGCTGACGTTCAATGCCACCAATCCAACCCTGAATTGTTTATCTGACCTCCTGAGAAATCAGGACAAAGAGAGAGATAATAATAGCCAAATCCCCAAACAAGCCACTTTTAGCCAGCATAACACAGTCCCCTCAGCTTTAACCCTTACAAAAAAGTAAACTGAAGTTTCCTGATATTAACCAATCAGTTTTGTTGTTGTTGTTCTGTTTCCTTGTTCCCACCTTAGGAAACTCACTGCTCTGCTATTGTCCAGGGGGAGCTTTCATTCTATTTTGTAGAATGGGGTCTGCCCCGATTAATGAATTGCAAATAAAAGCCATTAGATCTATAATTAAATTTGTAGTAATTCTGTGCTTTGACAGTTGATACAAACATATATTTCTAACAGCAGTGTATGAAGGTTTCCATATCAGATCTTTATTAGGTTGTCAGATTAATACAAACTTTTAAAATCATGCAACCCTTTCAGTAAAAAACCATCAGCATCCACAGCCATATATAAATACTATATATTCATTACTATACTAATATAGTACAAACTGCATAAAAAATAAATATTTAAAGGGATGCGATAAAAATAAATATAAACATTTTTGATATTTTCTCAAACCCCCAGAACCATCTTAGATGTTGCCGTTGGGGAGCTCTTGATTTACATTATCGATGTTCACTTTCATGCATGTGCAGCCATGGTATGGACATGATGAAGCAAACAAAGATAAGTGAATATTTCATTAAAAAGTAAATTTTTTGTGTCTGTAAGTTTAGCTTGATGATTATGGTAATAGTCATAATTTTAAAAACCTTATATTTGCTTAGTTCTTTATAGTTTATGAGATACTTTCATACATACCTTATTTGATCCTCATAAGTGCCTTATAAGGTGAATGGAACAACAGCATTATTTTCTCCACTCCACAGGAAAGTCTCCAGAATCACTTAGAGCAGCAGAAACCCAAGATCACATGGCTGATTAACCACCTATTCAGACTCTACATCTCCTGCTGCCTGGCCCAGCTCACTTTTCCATGTCACACACTGCACATAGCAGATGGACAGGTATCCTGAGAGTATATGGGAGAATAAAAGCATTCAAGATCCCAATGGTAATTTTCCAGGTATGGAATTAATATATTTTAAGTCTGGCCTGTAGGAGAGGTGGGGTGGGGGAGTTAAGGAACTGGCTCTCATTAGCTTTCTTCATCTTCCAAACCCTATCACATCTCTTCTCTTTTTTAAAAAAAAAATGTGTTCCTTCTTTCAAACCCATTTTCTTCTAGTAACCACCTTCATGCATGTCAAAAAAAAAAAAACCTTTCCAAACCCTAATGAAAGGCATCAAGCATTTTTTTAAACATATCTTTATTGAGATATAATTCAAATACTATCCAATTCACCCATTAAAAGTTTACATTTCAATAATTTTAGTATATTCACAGAGTTATGCATTCACTACCCCAAAAAGAAACTGCACCACTTGGATATCACTCCTCAACCTTCTCCCCCTAGGCAACCACTAATCTACTTTGTTTCTCTATATTTGCCTATTCTAGACATTTCATATAATATGTAGTCTTTTGTGACTGACTTCTTTCACTTAGTGTAATGTTTTTAAGGTTCATTCATGTTGTAACATGTATCAATATATCACATCTTGTTTATTCATTTATTGGTTGATAGACATTTAAGTTGTTTCCACATAATAGTTATTTTGAATTTTGTGGCTATGAATATTTATGTACAAGTCCTTGTGTACATACATGTTTTCATTTCTCTTAAATATATAACTAGGAGGAGGTCATTTAGTAACCCTATGTTTAGCTGTTTGAAGACACCACCAGATTGTTTTCCAAAGTGGCTGCACCATTTTATATTCCCACCAGCAAGGTAGGAAGGCTGTAATTTGTCCACATCTTGCCAATACTTATTAGCTGTCTTTTTGATTAGAGTCATACTAGTGGGTAGAAAGTGGTATCTCACTGTAGTTTTGATTTTCATTTCCCTGATGGCTAATGATGTACAGCATCTTTTCATGTGCTTATTGGTCATTCATATATCTTCTTCAGAGAAATATCTAACCAAATACTTTGCCCATTTTTTCATTGTGTTATTTGTTCTTATATTTAGTTATAATACTTCTATATATATTCTGGATACATGTCCCTTATCAGATATGATTTGCATATATTTTCTTCAATGCTGTGGGTTGTCTTTTCACTTTCTTGATGGTATTCTTTGAAGCACAAGAAATTTAAATTTTGATGATTCCAATTTATCTATTTTTTTTCTCTTATTACTTGTGCTTTTAATATCATAACTAAGAAACCATTTCCCAATTGAAGGTCACAAAGATTCACATCTATGTTTTTTTCTAGGTTTCTTTTTCCTTCTTTCTTTCTTTCTTTCTTTCTTTCTTTCTTTCTTTCTTTCTTTCTTTCTTTCTTTCTTTTTTATTTTTTTCTTTCAAGACACAGTGCTCTGTCCCAGGCTAGAGTGCAGTGATGCCATCATACCTCACTGCAACCTCAAACTCCTGGGCTTAAGTGATTCTCCTACCTCAGCTTCCTGAGTAGCTGGAACTACAGGTGTGTGCCAACATGTCCAGATAATTTTTTCTATATTTTGTAGAGACAGGGTCTTGCTCTTGCTTAGTCTAGTCTCCAACTCCTGGCCCCAAGTGATCCTCCCACCTTGGCCTCCCAAAGTGCTAGGATTACGGGTGTGAGCCACTGTGCCCAGCCTTCTGCTAGGAGTTTTATAGTTTAAGATCTTACATTTAGGTCTTTGGTCCATTTTGATATAAATGATCTATTTTGAGATTTCTGTATAGTACTTTTTTCTGTACTTCATTCTTATGCTTGTAAGCATCCAGTTGCCCCAGCAACATTTGTTGACTATTCTTTCCCCAACAAATATTAATAGTTATGGTACCCTGAAAAATCAACTGACCATAAATATGAGGGTTCATTTCTGGGTGCTCATTTCTATTTTGTTGATTTATGCTGTGGCCTGTTTGCAGGACGGGGGATGAACACAAAACACAAAAGAAAGACACAGACACACACAAAGACGGTACAAGACTGCAGTGCAGAATGCACCAGTTGTTTTATTTTTTATACCCCCAAAAATCAAAGTTAGTTCCTTGTAAGTGACCACCCAGTCATTGCAGCAATGGCCATACATTCCGGAACACGTAGCTTAAGGACACAGATGTCCCCTGACTCAAGGTTTCTAGGCGGTTGCTCAAGGCAACAGGCATAGATCACAGACCGAGACAAGCAACATTAGGCAAGCCAGCCACAGGGGGCGGGGGCAC